TCTGGGCGCACCAAAGAAATCTGCAAGACGCCCTATTTGCGCTGCCATCTGTTGGTTTGCTTGGGAATTCTACAAGTTAGTTTATGTAGTGCTTTTAATTAAAGGGTTGAAAATCTTACCCATCTATTGGGCCAATACGCCCAACATCTCGTGGTTGCTATCGTCCATTTGTTGCCTTATGACTGCTTGTGTATTTGTGGTGATATCAGGTATTTGGATTGGCTGTGAATTGTTTCTAGCCATATGGTTTATCCCAGACCCTGATCCTTTCAATGGTGATAAAGTAGATGTTACGGGACGTGTGTATGTCGACGTATTATTTTGAAATCCCATCATGAACGAAGTTGACATGCCATATATAGGATCTGATGTTGGGATTGTAAATCCTGGTGGAAAAGTTCTAGACATACTTATCGAAGGCCTGGGTGTTAATGGTGGATTTTGATTGGCCATATACACAATGGTATGTTCATTATGGGTGTTTGATGATATAGTTGAAGCGTTTGTATTTTGGGGTATAACTGCAGCGCTTGTTGTCGAAGGGATCGTTGCAATCCCTTGACTCGCCATCATCACTTTGTTTGTATTCGAAGCGCTGGTATTTCCTCCCACAGGAGGGTGAACTTTTTGTGCATCACTAGTGGGTGGGTTAGCCATTCCCCTAATGTGTTGTCCTTTTGGTCTAGGATTTGTATTGTTGGCTAGTTTTCCACTTCTCAATCTTATGCAATAAACAAGTTAAAACTAAGATGGATAAAGACACAGGTCCCATCAGGTGTGCCAATTTGTTTACCCTCAAATTTTGGTAAACAACCGCTGATCTTCCAAATCCTTACACGGATCCAGTTACTTGCAAGATCGATCAGATTGATCTCAAGACACGAGTGTCTTTATTAATCTTTTAACTTGATTGTTGTATTTAACATGTTTTGTATATGAAGACAAATGGCTTCAAATGTCGAATTAAAATGCATATAAAGTGAAAGTAAAATTACTTCAAAACTTGAAATGTTAAAAGACTTAAGTAAATGTTACTGGAAATTCTGCAGAAAGTAAATGCATTTATATTAAATAGGTGTATCATACGTACATCCTCAATAAACTCGTTTCTCTTTAACACTTGGTACTTTGAGTAATTTCTGAGTAATTTATACAAAGATGTTCACCACCTCAATCGAAATACTAAAGCCATTATTTATACTACTTCAACCCTAACGGTCTTCTACACGAACTAATTCCACGTTTCTGTTTGCATGTCTTCGACGAACTCAGAGCCTTCCACACGTCTTTTCGGATAAGATAAAAATATTTGAATTCGAATCTCCTTCTTATCTTGAGCGCCAATCTCTGAAGATGGTCGAACGAAAAAATGTTTGAAACCTTAGCCACATTTCGAATAACAGTCCTTATTCAATAATTAGAATTGGTAAACCTTTCCAACAAATTTTACTCAATTCGAATCTCAACCTTTATGGCTTCACATAAATAAAGTAGTGGAATATTCTGAAGTATATTAAAGTCCAACTTTAAAATCCTTAGTCGAAATTTCCAGCTAACACCATCTTAATGAAAATTGAAACCCTAGTTGGGGGTTCATTGCCTTAGGAGGAGAATTTGTCTGATTAGTTATTGGTCAACCTTGGACAAGTTGGGGACCTCAATGAGCATGTGTTGAGTAAAAAGGGAGGGAAAATTTTGGGGTACAACAAGGCCCAAAATAAGAGACAGGAGAGTTAAAAAATTTCTATACCTGAGAGGTTGGAGGAATGTTGTTTCTCTTTCTTTTTGAGGATTGGACAAATTCAGAGGTGACAGTTGACGATCTTTTATGAATCTGAAAAAGAAGAAATGTTAAAGGAAACTTTCGATAAACTAGTATGACGAAAACATGAGGGTCCTTCGATAATAATCACCGATACCTCTTGAGTGTGTTCGAATTTTTCCTTGTGGAGTCCGCAGGATCCACTGTAAGACATGAGAAATGATAAAGATAAACAACACTATTACAAGGGAAACTTGATAAGTTAATTATGTCAAAAATATACTTGTTGAAGTAGTTGGTTGTGTGTCCAGTCGGCTGAAAGCTTCTGAGAGTCTTTGCAAGAAACATGTTGCATAGAAGTTTTGTTCTTGGTATTTGGACCACCAGGCATCGAATTCAGTAGTAGAAAAGAAAGATGGTTGGAATTGGAAAGTTGGGAGTTCCAAAGTCTAGGTGGTCCTATGGAAGAGAAGGAAATAATGGGGTTCTTCGGAAAAAAGGTTACGCCCTGCCTAGAAAATTTCGGTATAGAAGGAGTAAAGGGATTTGGACAACACCTGGATAAGATTAAACTGGCGCGCTACCAAATTTGGCTGATAACTTGTGAAGCTGTAACCATTCGACCTAGTCTCAATCCGAAAAGAGACAAGAGTCAGAGTCAAAAATGCTTTCCACACAACATTCGATTGAGCAACAACGAGAGGAGAAACTCTAGGAAAAGGATTTTCGAACCAGTCTGGGCCAACGTGTTGACCCATAAAGGGGGCCATGTCAGAAACAAAGTTGGCCTCAAGGAAAAGGTTGATGTATTTCATAAAGTTAACTTTGTTCAAATTTTCTTAAGGGGTAGTCAAGGCAAGTCGAATACCTTTGACGAGTTGATTACTAGGAAAACGCACGAGGGCTTCAAAGACAGGGTGACCTACGAAGTGTTCGAAAGTGGCATTCAGCCAGTGTTGCAGTAGCCACAAAGGACCAGAAAGAAGGAGAGCTTTATCTGTTTCAGGGAGAAGCCTAATTTTCAGAGAGAGCAAGGCCCAAATATTGGTATAAAAAAGCCAATAGCAACATACCCATAGAAATTTTCCATCCTTCATGAATTTGGGTGGCTAAGTTGATATAACCCTTAGCCACATGCATAGAACCTAGACAGAATAAATAATATGAGAGCCAACATGTCAGATATGCAATGTGCTCTATGTCATTGATGTTTGGATTATTTTTCACGTGATGATCTTCGATGTACTGGTTGAGACTGGGTCGACTGAAGTCGAACCCAAAATCAGTTAACAGTGTAGGATCAAAGATTTCACCCAGAGGTGAGAGTCCCTTAACAGTAGCAATGTCGAATAGAGTAAGGGTCATTATTCCACAAAGAAATTGTAAGGTATTGGTTGAACCTTCCCAGAAGTAAATCGAAGCCAAAATAATGTTAAAATTTATTTTATGAGCAATTCTAGATAATTGGATGGCGTCGAAGATACAATTTTTCTTTCAGTGTGTTTCCTTTTTCACTTGCACCTTTTTTAGCCACACAAGCCAAGCTTTGTTACCAGGATTAGGCATAGATAAAAAGATCCTAGTGGATTTCATAAATTTTACGTCGAGGGGATGTTTTTCGTAAGCAGATGCGGAGGCAGAAGAAAAACAAAGGAAATATTATTATACCTTGTGAGGATGAGATATTGTGATGGATACGGTCCATAAAATGCGAAGAGCTTCTCAGCCACTGCGAAAGGTATACGCATTTGTTCTGCCACTTTGCTATCTTGGACGCTTCAGTAGAAGGTGGTAGATGAATATCTTGTAAACCTCCTTCTTTTGCGAGAGAGAAAGCTATGGGGTTATCGTCTGTGTTTAGTTGGTTCGGAGTTGAAGAATCCATGACAGTATATGTGCGTAAGGCAAGCGAAGAATTTTGTGTAAAAAGTTACAGAAAAGGGTTCGTAAAGGAAGAAGAAGAAGGGACAATGAGCGCGAAGGATTATTTATAGACTGGTTAAAACAGTCGATTATGGACAAGTGGCAACGCTGATAAAATAATAATTATCACGAAGTTCAGAAGTAGGAGAGTTAATAAAGTTTGGTAGAGTCTCGCGCCCTAGAAACTAAGAGCCATGATAGTTCAATGGTTGGAAGAATATTTTAGAAATCAATTGATTGTCTAATTGATAAGTCTGAATCCAAAGTATTTCGTCTCAATATAATTATATCAAATGAGATATGATCAGATCAAAAGAGATATGATCGGTCCAGAATATATAATTTTCAAAAATATAATTTTAAATTTTGAAATAAACACATAATATTTTCATTGTATTTTTTGTTTGCTTATGTTCCCTAGCTATTTTATATTGTTTATATGGTGACTTTTGTATATTCTGAATACTTCTTGTACTCCAAATATATTATTGTGAATGCAAAATTAAGGAAACATGATATTTTCCAATTAGTTTTGATGCAAATTTAACATTACTAATTTTATACTTTATTACTATAATATTTGTAAATAACAAGGAAAAGTCAAAATAGCTAACATTATAAATTTAAATATCACTTTTGAGTACTCGATTAATTCCTTCATATAGTTCTAGAGAGAAAATAAATAAATATTTATAAACATTTATTTTTTACATCTCGAATAAATAGAAGGAAGCACGTGAACCATGTTAAATCACATTCCCAACTTCCACCCGTACAAAATACAAGCATTACAATCACCCTCTTTTCACATCCATCTAGCATGCTAGTACCTCCTACATGCTACCTCCAATGGACCGCATCACATGCAAATAATACCCTCATAATGAAACAGAAACCTGATTAATCAACCTACGTGCTAAACTTAACCTGAGGCGAACGAGTCACATGGTAAAACCGTAACAGCACGTGCCGGCCTTCTCCATAACGAATCCAACGGCTCATAATTCAACATTCCATCCTACGGTTAACATTGAATCTAACTCCCTCATTACTCGGTCTTTAAATACACCAAAACCGGTACCCACTTCACGCTTTGTTTCCACCTTCACTTCCATTCCAACTTCGACCAACTCAACTCTTCTTTTTCTCTCTCTCAAAAAATTTAAATAATAGATAAATAAAATAAAATAAAAGAACCGTTCGTTTAGTTCAAAAATCAGTTCGCACCTCGCCACCGTGAAATGTTACCGGCCGGAAACGTAACAAGAATCACCGGCACCGGAGAAGATAAAGATCTAGTTAGTTAGAAACGGAAATGGAAACTCAGAAGAGTCAAGTGAAGCTAACAAGAACTCAATCGTCACTTCTCAATCTCAATCTCAGTTCTTCTTCACCAACAATCCGATCGTCGTTTCAGAGCCTTTCTTCCATCAACGATTACTACGACGAAGAGGACGACAAGAACAACAAGAAGAAAATCAAGAAAGCGTCGTATTACAATTCCTCCCCGCGATCCGGGTCGACCCGAATAACCGCTCCGGTTATCGCGGTTGTTTCGTTCGGTTTCCTCGGCGTTTGTTCGTTCTTCTTCTACTTCTCGTTCCTCGGGAGGGACGAGGTGCCGACGTCGGAGAATCTGTTACTGGCTTTAATCTTCATCGCCGTCGCGCTTTACTTCGCGTCGAGGAACAAAGGCTTGATCAACCATGGTGTCTCGGTTGTGAAGCAGTGGTACGACGGGAACGTGAAGCGGTTCGGGTTAACGAAAACAGAGTCGAAACCGGTTCAGTGGTTCATTGGCGGTTCAACGACATGTACAACAACGAAGAAGAAGAGTGTGAGGGAAGGAGTTGAGTTTTACAGCAATGGTGATTTTTACGAAGGGGAGTTTCATAAAGGAAGGAGTAATGGGAGTGGTGTTTACAATTACTTTGTGAATGGAAGATACGAAGGTGATTGGGTTGATGGAAGATACGATGGTTATGGAATTGAGAGCTGGGCTAGAGGGAGTCGATATAAGGGTCAGTATAGGAAGGGAATGAGACATGGTTATGGAGTTTATAGATTCTACACCGGAGATTCTTTTTCCGGTGAGTGGTGTAATGGTCAAAGTCATGGAATGGGTCTTCAAACTTGCTCTGATGCTAGCACTTATGTTGGTCAATTCAAACATGGTGTTAAACATGGTCTTGGTTGTTACCATTTTAGGTAAGTTGAATTTTTTTTGTTGTTCTAGATTTGATTTTGATAATATTGCATGGGGTTTGTTTAATTCTTAGATGTTATGCTCAGGGTTTTAACTAGGTGTCGCGTAAAGACTTTCGCGATTTTGGGTTGAACATGTGTTGTGTTGTGACACTGATTACTGTCGTCGCAGTGTGAATTAACCATAATTTGTACTTTTAACATAAAAATGGTGAATATCGGTATTGGTATTGGCATCTTTCGATACCGTTTTGTCGTGGCTGTTTTCGCGTGTGAATGTGATTGTGTCTTGTTTAATTAATGGTAGTGTTGCATAGGGTTTTACTATAATAGTCTAGTAATTGGTTTTGGATGTAGTTTTTTTTTTTTAATCTGTTTTCTGAGTTATGGTAAATTTGGTTGCAGAAATGGAGATAGATATGCAGGAGAGTATTTTGGAGACAAAATTCATGGATTTGGGGTCTACCATTTTGCTAATGGACATTGTTATGAAGGAGCGTGGCACGACGGTCGTAGACAAGGTATTGGTTCGTATACTTTTCGAACTGGTGATCGAAGATGTGGGGAATGGGATGCTGGCAACCTTAAGCATTCTCTGCCACCAGTAACTGATGTTGTCCTTCGAGCAATTGAGGTGCATGTTATGAACATTTCTTTGTTTTTGTTGATTTTTTCCCTTTACAATATTGGTGATTTTGTAAAACTTACTTACATGTTTGTTTTCCTTTGATGGTTTAAATGGCAGGCTGCTAGGAAAACAGCTGCGGATGCGATAAACCTCAAGTCTGTTGATGATCAAGTTAACAATGCAGTGATCGCTGCAAACAAGGCTGCCACTGCTGCTAGAGTGGCTGCTGTGAAGGCTGTGCAGAACAGAATGGATGGAAAATTTTGTGAAACTTTTGTCTGAGATAATTCAATGTTAATTACCTTTTGTTTGCAATTGTAAATTTTTACTAATTTTGAGTTACTTGGAAGATGACAACACCCTGATGAGCTAAAGCTGATTGGAGGTTGAAAAAAGAGTATGCTTTGATTTTTTTTTTTTACCAACACCATAACTTGTAAATAAACCATGTATATCAATGAAAGTTCAATTTTCTGCATTTCTTTCTTGATGTCAAAATATCTTTTTAGTAAAACTAACATGCAAGCGTTACATTTTGCCAGGAACTTGCCATGTGTAAAAAAAGTTGAGTGTGTGTTCTTTAATGATATCATGTGTTTGTATGATGATAAAAAAACATTCTCACAAGCAACAACCTTGAAGGGAAAGATACATTAAAGATTCGTGTATAACGTTATCAATGTAAATCAAACAGGAAAAGATATATCAGTATGTAGAAAAGATATATCAGTATGTGAAAAAGCAAATATGCTTGTAAGATTGACCCTTTAAATGCACCAAGAATAATAACTATGCCCCGTACCCTCTAAAGATGATTTTAAATTGCGAATATTGCAATTTTAACAGTATTGTAACTGCGGCCGCAAGTAACGGCTGCAATTTTAACTGCATTGTAACTGCGGCCGCAAGTAATTTTAGTTGTGGTTGCAATTACAAGATGAGGGAACATTTTGTTGTAGACATGATGATGAGGGAAAGCTCCATTAGAAAGATGGAATAAAATTGAAAGAGAAGGAAACAAATGTATGATGTTATAAACTATATAGAATTATGTTTTTTTTTAATAAGAATCCATGTGACGCTCTACTCATGTAGGAGTAGGACAATGACAGGATTTCTCTTTCCATTATTATTAATTTTATCATTATTAATTTGTTTAAACAGGAGCACATGATGTAGGGTGGGTAAGATCTTTATCCTTTTTCACAAAATATAAAAGGAAAAAGAGCATGACTTTTCTAGCATGCTGGATCTACAATCTCAACTTCACACATTCTAAAAAGGCAACAATTTAATAATTTTATTTTTCTTACTACTTTTTCTTGCCTAATTTTCATTAAGAAATGTCAGATCATTTTTCATTTTTCATGTCCATAGCTTCACGTTGTATCTTACCACTGGATTCATATCTTTTCTTGTTTAAGCTATGTTGTTCAATGACTCCACATGCATCACAAAAGTCCAATCAAGAAAGGGTGGGGGGTGAGTGGGTGGATCGGTTAGTATGTAGGTTGAGATTATTTTTGGGACTAAATCCAAGCTTATCTTATGGTCCAAAGCTATCATGTTTAATATTATTAGAGCAAGAAAGTCATAATTATTTTAAAATGTAATAATATTTGTTGGCCACAACCATCTAATAACATTCAATAGTCCGATCACCGGACATTTAGGTAGGATGACGTGAGTTTCTTTATGCTTAATTTGAGATTCTAAATTCGACCTATTGTGTGCGCTGCAATGTTAAATTTTTGAGAGAGATTTTTGTTGCTTTAACTTGAGAGATTATTCTAGAATATTCTATTTATATATAAAAAAATTTAGTGTATTATAAAAAAAATTCTCATTTGCGACGTGAAATTTACGTCACAACGTGAAAAATCATGTCACGACAATTAATTTGTGACGTGAGCTGTCACGTGGCTGGAGAGCGGGTAGAAAATTTTTTGCGATGTGATTTTCATGTCACAAAGTTGTAACGTAAAAATCGCGATGCAACTTACTTGCATAGAACTTTTGAAAATACAGTGGAAGCAGATGTAGCAGGCGCTGAAATCGGAGCAACACTTTATTTGCCACGCGATTTTCACATCACAAATTAGTAACGTAAAAATTATATCACTAATTAATTACATTTAACACCCTAACGTTTTATTCAACTTTTATTTTTTATAAAAAAAATTAAATTGCGACGTGATTTTCACGTTATTAATTTGTGACAAAATCACTTCACTAATTCGTGACGTGAAAATCAGGTCACTAGTCAATTATGATTATCCCTACAACGTCCATTCAATTTTTGTTTCTTTATTAAAAAATTAATTTGCGACGTGATTTACATGTCACAACTTTGTAACATGAAAATCACGTCACTAATATTTTTTTTTTTTTTTTTAATTTAATTATTGAAATTTGTTTTTCTTTTATAATTAATTAAAATAATATAATTAATTAATAAATTTAATATATAATAAATTAAATTAATAAATTCAATATATAATAAATTTAATATATTAAATTTAATATAATAAAATTAATAAACTAAAAACACGTCACTATTAGATTCAATTTGGAGAAGTTATCATTTATTTCTAACCAAACCGTCCAAACTCAAAAAAGTGTAGTTATTTCAAGTGCATGTCACCAACAAGAGAAAATATTTTGAAATTTTATTGAAATGAAGATTTTCAATGGTTTTTGTTGAAAACTTGTAAACTATCCACTCCCTATTTTTAAAATCAATTTTTTTTATATAAGAAGTAAAGTTCTGAGCGCGAAGCATGTCTCGTTTGCATTCATAATGCATATTGTTTCCAACATTTTCCGGTGTCACTGTCTCCTCATTAATGTTTCCAATTACTTTATTATTTTCATTTTGGAGTATTGCAATTGTATACTACTAGCAACTCGTTTACTAATGCTTAAATTATCATGCAAACTATGCTTGGATATTAGCAATCCCACCAGAATTCGAATGGATAACTTAATCATCTTAGTTAATTAGTATTTTATTTGAATTTCTTATAATATAATGTGAAAAAACATCAATGATTTATTTATTTAGTAAATCATTACTTGAATTCCACACAACGTAAATTTCTAGTGAATGGAGTTTGTCACATTAATCCAAAACATAATACTAGTCAAGTTGTCATTTCTATCCTTTCTGATTTGGCACGTTAAGTGTCATTTATATAAACTATTTTTCTTCCACATGAGTATTTTAAACCACATCACAAGGAATTCATTAAAAATAAGTACGAATTTCTGATCTAGTTCATGTCAACAACAACTACTTTCATTATTGTGTCATAAAATCAAACATTCAAAAGACATTAATTGATGAATCAGTTGTTCAGTACAACAGTTTGTACTTGTTCTTGTTCATAGTTGTTTTGTCCAAACCTAATTGACTTGTATAGGTCAAAGAGTACTTTGTTGACCAGTTTGCACTCTTTTTTGAGATTGAAAATGCATGTAAAATATTTTCTTTTGTTCTCTCCTATTGGAGATTCTATATTTTTCTTATCTCACACAATCCATATTAGTAGGTAATTATTTGATGATATCCGAAAGAAGAAGAAAAACATGAAGTAAAGGGTTGTAAAAGTGAATTTCAAAAGAAAAGTAGATAAAAAGGTTGCTTTAAAAGTCACTAGCGAAGGGTAGTTTTAAGAAAGTGGTATTTAAAAATCACATTTATATATATTCTGTTCATGCATCAAGACAGATCCATTGTGAAACTACACAACATTTATATATATATTTTTTTTTTGCATTAACATAGTGCACCGTTAGTATTTTATTTTAAAGATTTCTATGCCAATGTTGTATTTCAAGAAATGCTATTTGGTGGCCACATGGTATGATTCTTTTTACACCTTTCTTCAAAGAAATACTTTAGTGTATAGAGGGTAAAATTCAAATTATTGACCATGGACATGACATTCAATTCAATTAAACTATTTGAATTTTTCATGTTTGAAAAAAAAGAAGTATAACTAACAATAATCAAAATTAATATAATCATTTATTGTTTGTTAAGAGTATAATCTATCCAATAATAATATAATCATTTATTGTTTGTTTGTTAAGAATATATATCCAATAATAAATTTTATTTTTAATACTTCTCTCTCTCATTCTTTTTCTCATCCAAAGTATCTCACGCACTAACAAATTGGTATGTAGAGCTTCAATTAGGTTCTTGATCGTGTTTTCAAGAATCACACGTCGATGATCGTGCTTTTGAGATCGTAGGTTGTTAAGAAATTGTTGCAAAGATGAATGGAACTAATGGCATTTTGAATTATCTTCCAATTCTTGATGGCAATAATTGGATTCGATGGAGAAAATAAATGCAATCTTTGTTCAATTTCTATGAAACCTTAGAAGTGGTCAACAATGGAGTCTATGAGTTTGCTGACAATGCAATCGATGCCCAGAGAGTCAGTCACAAGGATCCAAAGAAGAGAGATTGCAAGGTTGGGTACTGTATCAAGTCGGCGGTAGATGCGGCAAATTTTGATCGGATTTCTCACGCTGAATCGGCGAAGGAAGCATGAGATATTCTTGTCAAGTATTACGGAGGAGGTGAGAAGGTTAAAATTGTCAAATTGCAAACGTTGCGAAGGAAATATAAATTACTGCAGATGGGAGAAGAAGAAAAGATGCAAGATATGTCTCGAAGGTGAAGAATCTTGTTCGTCTAATGAAAAGCTGTGGTGAAACCCTTACCGACAAGATGATAGTTGAAAAGGTAATGCACACATTAACCTCTAACTTTTATCACATTATCGTAGTAATTCAAGAATTCAATTATCTTGAAACCATGAAGCTGGAAGATTTGGTTGGTTCGTTGAAGGTGCATGAGTTACATATTATCGAGAAGAAAGTGGTTCAAGATTCAATAAAAGTCCTACAAGTTTAAACATGGAAGAAGCATGGCGGTTCCAACAAATTCAAAGGAAAATGAGACAAGACTCAGAGCAAAAAGTTTTTGTCAAATTCTCAAAAGCATAATCTCGATGATAAGGCCTTTGAATCCTCGAAAAGATGATAAGGAAAGTCCTATAAAAAGACAAAGAAGAGAAAACAGGTGTGTGATGCTATCATTGTAAAAAGTGAGGTCATTTGACCAAGAATTGTTGGTACATGATAGACAAGGGAGCGACAAAAGGCAAGGATGAAGGAGAAAACCTTGCATGACAAGATTCAGATGATTCTGAAGATTTGGTGCTCATAGCTGCAGTTGAAGATGAGCATCTCGACTCCAAGATATG